ACATCCAATCCTAGATGTGATTTGGAAGACATGCGTATCAGGAAAGAGCTACATCTGGTGAGAGACGGTGATAAGTATAAAATACCTCCCGCTTTATACACCTTAAAAACCGCACAACGAAGGTCGTTTTGTGACTGGTTGAGGGCGATAAAGTTCCCAGATGCTTATGCATCTAATATATCCTGGTGTGTGACTACCGATGGTAGGTGATTCACTGGAATGAAAAGCCATGATCACCATGTCTTCATCCAACGCCTTATGCCTGCTGCCGCACAAGGATTCCTGAGCAAAGATGTCTATAATATATTGTTTCAACTTAGTGAGTTCTTTTGTGAGTTGTGTTCAAGAACGATGACCATGTCCACTGTCAGAAAACTCGGGGATAACATTCCAGTTATACTTTTTATATTGGAAATGTTGTATCCACCAGCTTTCTTTGTCGTGATGATGCACCCAATGGAGAGGTACACACCGGGTTGCACCCATTAATTTTTTACATGCTTCAGATCCTTTATAAAACGTAGCTAACTTTTGTATTCTGATTTTTTTTGGTGATTTTAAATAGGTTCTTAGGAACTCTTAAATCGTATGTTTCTAATAAGGCTCGTGCCGAGGGATCCATTGCCGAAAGGTATATAGCAAAAGAATGTTCAGATTTCTTTTCTAGATATCTTAAAGGTGTTGAGACCCGAGCAAGTAGGCTAGACATGAATGATGATGGGTTAGATGATGTAAATTATAATGGGTTTGATGTTTTTTTCACCAAGGTAGATCTATAGGATCTGCTGACTATGAGCCTATAGGTCAGGCTGAGATCCATAAGATCCAATGGTATGTCTTCAACAATTGTGATGAAATTGAATCACAATTAAAGTAAGTTCTTTTTCTTCTTTTTTGTGCTTAATAATTGCCATTATAGTGTGTATACGGAGGAGAGATTGATGAATTATCCAAACAGTACCCCAGCAACCATTGCAGCTCAATTCCCATCTAGGTTTAAAACATTTTTAAGCCCAAAATTTTCCAATTTTTTCTGTCTTACTCACAGCATCATTTTCTTAAATTTTTGGCGCCTTTTGTTTTGTTTTAGGTCTCCAAATTTTTTTTGGTTGGCACGCTTAAAGAGACTGACCATTTATATGTCCTAGGATTAGGGATGATGAAAGGATTACTAGATATCCTGGACTCATCATTAACGGGGTTCGATACCAAATAAATATGTCTAATGAAGGTCATCGAACTCATAATAGTGGTGTCATGGTTAGGGCGGAGCATAATGGCGAGACTATAGATTATTACGAGGTTATGATCGAGATAATTAAGCTGCAATATTGTGGAGGGCATCGCGTTTTTATATTCAAGTGCGAGTGGTTCAATGTGGGGGACAAGAAGAATGAAATAAGGATGGATGGACACTTGACGAACATAAACATGGATAGAAAATGGGGTGCGGAGGACCCATATGTATTGGCCAGTCAGGCTAACCAAGTGTTTTACATTGTCGATATTAAGAATGGTGGTGCATGGCATATTGTCCGCAAGGTATGTCCAAGAAGTTTGTACGATGTTCCTGAGAAGGAGGCAGCGAGACATGGGGATCCATTGTCTCAAAATCAGCCATACAAACAATTAAAAGTGAGTTACCGGATCTGAGTCGTGATGACGAGGTACCAACAATTTTTACTGAGACAGTGATACGAGCACTTGATAGACAATTCCAGCAGTGGAAGCAAGCTATGATGAGATCGACGACAACACATTAGATGACCATCATTTGAACACTAATGATGTTGAATAGCAAGATGGGTTTGATCCATCATACTATGACCAGGAAGAAGAAGCCTAATAGTAGATCATAGATATAGTGGTGTTTACACAGTAGCAGATTATTGGTTGCGAGCTTTATATGTTTGCAGATTTTTTGGTAAATATATGTGTACATATTTTTGAGGGCCTTAGTTACATTTTTACAGATTTTTGGGTAAATTAGATGAAGAAGATTGAATTTATATGAATGCTTAATTGATGTCAATGGAGTCTAACAATGAGGTTTATGTTTTCGTATCTGTGGTACTAATATGAACCCAGGCGAAACATAAACCCATGTTGTGTCTTCGAAATTTACTTTGATGATGGATTGGGGTTCTGGTGCAATTTGGTAGTGTTTTTGTAGGAGGGAGACTGAGTTTCGTTAGATGATTTAAATGAATGTGTGTGGTTATGAGCCCACATGATTTCGTGGATCAAAGCCCACACATGATTTAAGTCCCGCAAGGGCCCATTTTAAAACTGGTAAACGAAGACAAGGACCTTAGTCCTTCGTATCTGCCAAAGGAAAACCCTAAATTCCTCTTCTTCAAACCTTTCTCTCTCGCTACCTCTCCCCTGGAAATTTCTCTCTAACGACTCTTCCCAGTAATTACGACCGTTCACGACACCAATCTGCTCATCGCTCAAGTTTGGGGACCCGTTTCACAAGTAGGTGTTACTTTTCGAATCGCCATTCAGGTTCTTTGAGCTCTGCGTTTCCTGCCCTCGTTTCTCGATTCCTTTCATTTTATGTCCCTGTTATGCAATGGTTATTTCTATGCCCACGATTCTCCAATTTCTGCTCCGTTTAAGTCTACGGTTTCGTAGATGCTCTACCGATTTGTGCCTCGTGTGAGTAGTATTGGGATTAGGGTTTGGCTTTGAAGTCCTCGTTTCCCCCTTCTTCATTTTTTGCCACCTCTACTATGTAATTGTTTCACATGGTGGTCATGGTTCGGGATTCTTTTATAAAAAGAGCCATGCTATGAAAGCTTACTTGCGCATATAATAACATGCATATGCTTTACACCATAATCACATGCTTATGCTTTACAGCTGGCATGAATGTGGAAATATTGTATTGTCCAAGACTCTGAGACATATGGACCTCATTCTGGTGATAAAGTGTCTATTTGTTCATTGAATACTTTGTCTGTTGAACTGCTCTGTAGAGGTTGTTCTCAAGGAAGTACTAAGGCCAATTAGTTTTTTTGTTGTAGTTCAACAGTTTAACCACATAGTCTGCTCTAGTTCGACCATCAATCCACTTATCACGCCATTTAGTATACATGTCAATCACCCGCTGATTTTTTCCAAAATAAGTGACAAGCTTTTGTTTCTTGTATTTAATCTTGATTTATGCCATATGGTCTAGACTAAAGATATTTCATGCCTTCGGTAATTTGCTTGTCTAACATGAATAAGATATGTATTGAAGCAAAACACTGACTTGTGTCTATATAATTGTGTTCAGCCTTGTTAAGCTAATCCTTCGGTTTTGCTTTGCTGGTCTTTGCAAGCAATCGTTGTTAGCCGAATCATTTTCAGTTCTGGTGTTATTTTGTTGTCTTTGTCTTTCTTGTTCGGCCATTGTCGTCTTGTTTGGGTGCAGGGGCCTTTTAGGGGCTTAGCTCTCTTCACTGCTGTCTTTGGACAGCACTCCTTGTGTATGTTTTTTAACTTGAGATTCATTCAATAGAGGTTTTGACCATTATGACAAACTTTGTGGTGTAGGTATGCCGCCACTCAAGAAGAAGAAGGTTGCTGCTGACAAGGGAGTACATATCCCTGATTATTACCGGGCGACAAAATCAGGGAGGGTGCGCCCGGAACCTGCTCATTCCACAAAATCTGTAAGCTGGGGGAGTGGACGTCGAACTGGAACCACAGTGAACGAGGATAGTCAGCGCACAGACACTGTGCATCCAGATGAACCCAATGGCAACAACGATTCGGAGGCAGAAGCATCCAATCATGACAACGGAGAAGGTAGTAATCCAACTGGATTGGAAGGACTCCCTGCGACTAAAAAGAGGGGATTGTCCAAAGGGTATGAGATAATGAAGAGAACCAGAACTGGAGGCAAGATAGATGGAATTTACGTAATGGAGAATGGGTAGTCATTCGTAGGTCCAAATGAGAGCTTGCTGAAGACAGAGTTGGGCATCGTAACACACCTAATGGCCCCAATAAGGAAGTACTACTGGTCCAAGTTGACTGAAGCAGACAAGCACCCATTATTCAAGAAGCTAGAGGTAATTTCCGAGTGCTGCTAGTTTGATGTGAAGCTAGTTGTAATTCTTTTTAGATTATGGGGAATGCAAGTTGTATCTCTTTTTAGATTAACTTGAGAAATAGCGGGATTGATGCGAAAGGATTTGGTTAGAAATGTGTGGTAATATGTTTGTATATGAACTATATCATTGTTTTTTTCATGTAGGATGAATTTGACATAGACACAGTAGGTGAAGATGCAAGGAAGATTATGGAGAAGAGAATGAAGAAGCGGTTCATCAATTACAAGTATATGATGCATACTCACTACCTGAAAGACCCTGAGACAGCCAAGACAGATCCTCCTTTTGACATGAATATAGAGGACTAGCATCTGCTGTGTGATCACTTTGAGAGTGAAAAGTTTCGAGTGAGTAACTCCTACTGTTTAATCATCAATTTCCTTTATTACCTTGCCTTACAATCAATGGTTGCTTATTAATTAAATTTGTCGTATGCAGAAGCGAAGTGAAATTAATAAAGTCAACAAGAGTAAGCAAGTGTATGCACACACTTCTGGTGCAAAATCTATTGATCGAAGAATATATGAATTGGTAAGATGTCTACAATTCCATGGAACATTTATACATTCATACGATATATTTATGTGATTTAAATCTACCTCAATGTATTTTCTTTGTGTAGGAGAAGAAGAAGAAGCAGAAGCAGCAGGAGCAGCCTACTGAAGAGGAGCGCCCAACAAAAATGTAGGATGGTGATACCATAGAGGAGGAGCCAGTAGATCTGTTTCTATATGCAAAGAGGTATCTGAGGGCTGACGGGAGTTGGGTATTGGAGGAACCTATGAGAAACTATGTGATTCCGACCATCTCACTTACCTTGTTTCATTGTGATAAGTTCATAGCCAACTATGTGACCTGTTTCATTAACACTTTTTGTTCAATGTGTAGCTGGAGATGCAGTCCATTTGGATAGAAGCAAAGGAAAAGGGGAAGCCTGTATCAGGCCGTGAGATTGTTCAGACGGTCCTGAAGAAGAAGCTGAAGTATGGATTCAAGGAGAACCCAAGATCAGCAAAGGAGCAACAACTCCAAGCGGAATTGGAGGCAGCAAGAGCTAAAGCGGAGAGAAAGGCTAAGGAGTTTGAGGAGAAGATACAAAGTCAAGAAGAGAAGCTAAAAAGCCAGGCCGAGAAGATACAACTCCAGGAAGAAAAGTTACAGACCCGGGAGGAGAGGTTTGACACTCAAACAGAGGCGATGAACCAAATGAAAGCTGCCCAGCAAAAGCTACAACATCAAGTGCTAGTGATTGCTCGCCAACTACCCAGCAAATGAACTGCCAAGTCCAAGGTAACAACACTGCCTCGGTTTGAAGACCTAGATGGGACTGCAAGCTATTTGTTGGTGTTATAAGTATGTTAGTTTCTACTTTTGTGAACAAAGTTACCGTGGTTTGTGTACCTGTGAACAAGGAGTTTCATGTGTTGTGTCATGGTGGAACTTAGAATGTTTGTTTATGTTGAACAAAGAGGTAGACTGTTACGGGAATGGAAATAGACGAACTGTTTTGGATGTTTTGAAATATTTCCATGATCAGTTTGCAATGCAGAATGCACTATCGCGTTATGGATTTTGTAAAGCAGGTCAAATGTGACAACAATGGAAAGTTCTCATATTATGTAATTCCATGACAAATTGTCACTTTGTCATATTACACAAAAGTCAATTAAACCACCTTTCTTGACGAGCTATACTTGTCATAATACGCAGTTATGACAAAATCGCCCCGTCACAATTATAAGTTATGACAAAACCCGTTCATCCTGATATACTGAAATGACAAAATATATTTGTCATAGATGCAGTATGACAATGGATATTCGTTACAACATAAATTATGACAAAATAAATTAGTCAGAACAATGTGATGTAAGAGACAAAGCAGTAATCTGACAAAACATGTTGCCATAAATTTTCAGTTTGTCACATTATAAACATTTCCTGACAAACAAATATTTGGTCACATTAGGCGTGTGAAAAATTATGAACCTTTCATGACAAATTATATTCGTCACAAAATTCTGTTATGACAAACTATGATCGTCTAATATGACCAAACCTTTTCCCAAAATTACCAATTTATGACAATTATTATGATAAAAGATTTCGTCATAATCTCTCTGTTTGTCACAATAGACTACCCAGAACCTCATATATACCGAAAGCAGATGTGACAAATGTGTTTCAAAAAATTGTCACATTTGAACTATCTTGAAGGCGATAAAATGACAAAACCTTGTGACAAACACTTTTGTCATATTAGGTCAAATATAACTAAATAGGTATCTAATTTGACCAAATGGCCCCGTCATAATAGGCCGAATTTGTTGTAGTGTCTCTGCCATCGATCAGAACGGGATGGTTCCAGGTACAGGGCAGTAGCAGGCGATGTATTGCCAGTGGTGTGAGTGCACCAATCACAGGGTGGAGGACTGCCAAGCCATGCGAGAGTCTAGCACACCGCATGAGCAACTAAATTTCATTAATAATGCTCGGCGCAACGACCCCTACAGTAATACATACAACGATATCAGGCTTCCAGGCTCATGCAGCTAGTTTTCAAAACCAGAGACAGCCATATCAGCCCCGCCCAAGCTAGATGCAGCAGCAACAACCATTTTATCAGCTCAAACAGGGGCAGGCTTTTCAACAGCCCCCACAGCATCAGCAGTACCAGCAGCTTGGTGCATCTTCATCAGTCCCAACACCAAGCGATCCAGTGTCAGAGGGATCTAGTGACCACATTGGCCAGCACCAGTACCCAGAAGTTCAATAAACTAGAGCAATTCATGGAAGTGGCTGTGGGCAAATTCATGGAGATTGAAGCTAGCCAGAGGAGCCAGCAGGTACTTCTGCATGATATGGACACTAAAATCGGGCACCTAGCATATGCCTTTGCTTCTAGACCGGCTGGCACACTTCCTGGCCAACCCTTGCCAAACCCCATAAATCATAAGGAGGGGTTGCACGTCATCATGCTTAGAAGTGGGACTGTAACTAAAGATGCATCGCCGAGGAGTGCAAAGAAGGTGGCCAAGATCACCCCGGATCCAGAAGAAGACCTGGTGATGGAAAAGGAGCCAGAGGTTCGGGCCCCAAAGCCCTAACCAGTAGTGGCTGAATATAAGCCTAAGCTCTCTTTACCCACCAGGATGCATAAAGACCAGCTAGAGGCAGAGTTCGGGAACTTCATGTCCATGCTTAGGAATCTAAATGTTCAAGTACCCTTCCTGAAGGCATTATCTCAGATGCCTAAGTATGTCAAGTTCCTGAAAGACCTCCTCTCTAAGAAGAAGAAGTTCAGCGAGCTGTCCACTGTGGAGCTCAACGAGGAGTGCTCGACCATACAGCAGAACAAGCTTTCGCAGAAGCAGAAGGACCCATGTTGGTTTACTATCTCGTGCTCTATTGGTAAATTGCATGTAGAGAGGTCATTGGCAGATCTATGCCTAGGTGAACCCAGTGCAACTAGGATGAGTATTCAATTAACTGACCGATCTATAGTTCATCCTAGGGGCATAGTGGAAGACCTCCTAGTTAAGGTTGGCAGATTCTTTTATCCTACGGATTTTGTTGTCTTAGACATCAATGAGGACGTAGAAGTGCCCCTTATAATAGGTATGCCTTTCCTGGCCACCGCTAAGGCTCTCATATATGTGCATTATGGGACCCTGATTTTGAGGGATGGTGAGGAGTAGATAACATTTTCCGTTGCTAATAATATGAATGTTATCTCGCATTTGGATGCCTTATCTCACCAGGTGCACGAGTCTGTCGTGTATCCTTCTGTGCCTCCCGTTTTGCAGGACCCTCCTCTCATTCCTTCGCCGCCACTCCCGTCCGTCCCATTCCCAAAAGAAAAGATAAAGGAGAAGTGGCGGCCGAAACTGCAGGTATCTAAGCCTTCTCAAAAGAAAGCTGGAGACCACTATGAGCTGGTCCCGGCTCCTCAGCCACAACTACCCTGGCCATCCAAGTATTCACTCGCTTGCATCCTGCCGGATGGCCAGGTCGAGCTGACATGTGCTGGTGGTCATACCAGTCATGTGCATGGCCACCATCTGAAGCTGTACCTTAAGAGCGATGTGGATCCAGTCTTGGAGGCACCTGTTCCTCCATCTCTCTAAGCATCCACCCTCTACGTCCAGGTAAATACGTAAAAGAAGCGCTTGTGTGGAGGCAACCCCACCACCGTTTGCTTTTCTTTTATTTGTTTTTGGTTTTTCTACTTGGAACTATGGTTTCTATCACCCGGTGTGTTTTGATGACTCTAGCTTTGTGACTTTGGACTGGTCCCCTTCCAGTCCCCTGCTCTTGATTGGTTTGTCTTCCATTCGCCATTCCTGATCGTGATTTCCCAGTAACATCGTTCCCCTTCTTTATGCTCCATTGAGGACAATGTCGAACTTAAGTGTGGGGGTGCTTTGTAATTCTTGGAGCATATGTTTTAGTGCTTGGAGCCTAGTCCATTGTCCAAATTTCGATTTGAGGGCTCCAAGTACAGTTAACTGCAATAACCTGCTCAGTATGCTTTGAATTGACAGTCTTTATGGTGATATGCAACATAGGGAGGTAGTTGTAGCACTATGGAGGATGTTGAAGTATAAGATTTTTCCTATCTGTCTCTTTGATGTGCTGGTTGATTTTGTGAACTAGTGGATTTAGGACCGTTGATTCATGTGGTATTGATGACTCTCTCTATGTTGTGTTCTGCACTCGTGTATCGAAAAAGGGTGCTCAATTGTGTGAAATGAAAAAGCATTCGGTACTCTGGCGAGCGACAGATGTACAGAAATTTCTCTTGCTCAACCAATAAGGGCCGACCGCGCATAAAAACTGCAGTTTGGAACCCCCGCCAAGTAAATGTGGAAAACATAAGAAAACAAAAAGAAAAAGTAAGAAATGGGGGGTTCCAATGAATGAAATGAAATGGAAGAGCACCCGATACGAAGAGTCCTTGGTCGTTAAATTGTGTCAGTCTCATTATCCATGAATTAACTGTCTTAGTTCCACTACATCTCATGATCCTGGTTTGAGTCTAGTACTCGCATTGAGAGAGATAGGGGACGTCTTAGAAGACCAGTTGACCTCGTAAGTTGCTAACTGATGTAGGAAATCCTCTACCAACGATCAGGGTTGCTTGTTGGTGTAAAGGTCTGGAGAATTGCATTGGTTTGAGTCAGGTTTGCTGGGGTACAAGCAAACAGTTAAGTGTGGCGGAATTTGATAACTCAATATTTACACATGTTTTTGTCCAACATTCTAATACTGTTTGAGCCTCGTCTCTCGTGTTTTAGGTCGATTTCAAGCTAGGTTGTTCTTATTTGACATATTTCAGGTCCTAGTACGTGAATGAAGGCTTGGCCACGAGTTCGGGGTCGATTGGACGAAATTTGGACGTTTCACGCAAAGCTGAGGATTTTACGCAGCCAAGTCAAATTTCCACGCGGTCGTGCATCATGGCCATGCGCGGACAAGAGCCAATTTTACACGGTCGTGCAAATTGATGTGCAACACCTTTTGCGCGGCCAAGGAGGTACGGGACGTGCAAAGTGTCCCTTTGGCCATGTGGGATTTCCAGAGATGTCACACAGGCAGGCCAGATTTTCACGCAACCGTGCAGTTCTGGTCGTGCGTCGCATTACAAGCCCCTAAATCAAACGTCGCGTTTTGGAGAGTCACACGGGCACGCGAGCATTCTACACGACGGTGTCGCCTGGCCGTGTGGTCGTGAATTTCTGGGTTTAACCCAATTTCGGGTCTTTGAGATAGGGATCGAATTTTGAGAGAAAAAATAGATATTTAGAGAGAGAAAGTGCGAAGAACAAACCCTAGGATCAATTTTTGGAGTTGGGTTTCATCAATCAAGCTTGAATTTCGACCTTGGAGTGAAGATTATCATCCCAGAGCTTACCGTTAACATCATTATGAGTATGATTCCTTTGATTGTTGTTTTCTACTCTCTCTATAGGGTATAACTTTCTCTCACTTGGGTATGAAGAACCCTAGTTTCATGTGTTAGGGATCGTGATTTTAATGACTTTTGGATTGGTATATTGATTGGTTTTAATCAATTGAAGTGTGTTTATTGAGTCAATTGAATCCTGATCAACTTCTTTTGATTTTTGCTGCAACCTGAGATTGATAGAATTTGATTAGGTTGTTAGAGCTTCTTTAATTGGTAGAAGTGAATTGATTGTACGAGAGTCAGTCAATTCACTGCTTTGTACTGGAATATGTTTCCAGTAGTGGAGTTCTGTGTTAATTGCCTTAGC